GGAACGGGATCCCAAGCCAATGGCTGGGACCCTGGATCTTCCCCAGGAGCCACCAGTGGAGCCCTTAGGCACGGGGCCAGCAGCCAAGTCGGACCCCGGGCTGACAGCAGAGTCCCCAAGTATGGGACTGGCAGTTGAGGGGGCCTCAGAGCAGTGGCCAGAAACTGCATGCCACCCTGGGGCCATCAGTTACACTCCTGCATGTAGGGCTAGCAACTGGGACTCCACATGTGGGGCCAGCAGCTGTGCCCCCAGGTGCAGGGTAAGTGGCCCAGTGAGACCTGGGGCCAGCAGCAAAACCCCTAGGCACAGGGCCGGTGGCCTCGTTGGCAGGAGAGCCCCCAGCCAGCAGCGGGACACTGGGTAGTGGGGGTGGGGGCCCGGTGGCAGGGATGCCAGCTGCCAAAACTGTGGTGCCACAACACCCCCCTGCACCCTATGCCTATGGATGTGTTCCTGGAAGTTTCATCACAAGCCATAATCTTTAATTCCAGGAGACTCCAGGACAGTACTGAAGAATAGGCAACCCTACCTAGCCCTCCAGGTAGGGTATGTAACAATTCATCCCCTTTGGGGATTAACATAAAAATCTAAAACCCAAAAAAGCCCACAGGCCAATGTCCTTTTCAACCTGTCCTTCAACCCCCAATTGAGGCTAGCAGTTCTCAGTCTCGTCCACTGGTGGTGCTCATACCTTAGGGTTTGTCTACACTTGCAGCCTAATTCGAAATAGGGCTGCAAATGGAGGCATTCGAAATTGAAAATCAAGCCCAGGATTTAAATATCCCACGCTTGATTTGCATCTTCCCAGCTGGGCGCCATTTTTGAAATTGACAAGACCGGAATAACTGCCCGTGTCTACACACGGCAGGGAAACGGCCGTTCGAAATAAAGCCCTATTTCGAACTACCTGTTAAACCTCATTGCAGGAAGAATAATCTTTCCTTCTACCCTTCAGGCAGATGCTTCCCCTTAGCTCTCTTCCTGCCACTGGGGCTTGTGCCTCAGTCCTCTTGCCTTAGCAAGCCAGCTGCTGCAAGGCCTCTCAGCTCAACATGCTCTCCAAGGCTCCCCCTCCCCATTAGCCCCAGCAGAGAGTTACCACTGTCGGCGAAGAGCTACCCTCCCAGCACGGAGCTACCGCAGCCAGCTGAGGGGAGCCCTTCCCTGCCAGCTGCAGCCCCAAGCCACCTAGGTAAACCTGAACCCAAACCCCTATCCCACCTTGAGCCCTCCACCCCCAGCCCTTTCCTGTCAGAGAAAGGAGGCAGCTTCTGTGCTGGTCTCCTTCTCCCAACTCCTTCCCAGCTGAGGGGGAGGCTTGCCCTACCCTGCATCAGGTCCTTAAAAATATGGCATGAGGAGTATTTCCTCAAGTCCCACTCCTTCTCAGCACCATTCGGTCTTCCTCTTTATCTGCTGGATCCTTCCAAATCCTTCAAGGGCCATGCCAGGTGGCAGGGCAGGCTGACCACAAGGTGCTACTGACCTCCATGGCAGACTGCCCTGGCACATGGATGTCTTCCAGGTTAGGGGTGTGCTTTGGACCTGTCCAATTTGGGAGATGTTTGCAGCGCTGCACCATGAAATGTGGGATCAATCATGTCACTAAGGCACAGCCTGGTGTTGAGGGTGCTGCAGAAACAGTGCCAGTAGACAGAACCCTTTGCCACTAGTGCTAATGGGGAAACTGAAGAAGTATTAGCTTTGGTAGCTTCTTTGCAGGCTTGGCAATGCAAACACATGCAGAAGTCTTATATTACAACTAGCAGAGGAAAGCAGAGAAAGCATGATACATGTTTAACAATTGCCTGCCCCAGGACCGTTTGCAAGACTTGAACATAGGACCTTCAGCCCTAAAATCTTCTCGCCCATGCAAGATAAAGGAGCACTGCCCTGACATGGCAGCTATAGTAGACTATTAACCTCTTACGTGGGCCCACCACTAGAGGGCGAAAAATACACATGTACTACCCTGCAATTCAGTTTCTCCCTGAATCATTTGAAGGAATAGGCTGAAAATTTGCTCCTCTTGTAATATGCACTCTCTCTCTT